TACCTCTCAAGCTAACAATCTAACCTCAACCTCCAAGCATCGCCCTAGCAACCCTTCTTCACCTTGATCCTCTAAGAACCCCAAAACCCCAATGTAGATAAATGAAGAAATGATATATAAATATGATAGAATGAGAAGGGAAAATGCAAGAGAAAGGTAGTTCTTACTATATCCTAGTTTGAAGATGGATAAAAGATGGAGCTTTGTATTATTTTCTTTGAGTGAAATGGAGATGAATTTTTAGTGGATGGGGGAAGGGAAATGGCGTGAAAGTGGAGTGGGGAGGAAGACAATGTGAGAATGTAGTCTAGGTTATAATACAAGATGTGATAAGATATATTAGATATTCATATTTGTATATATTAGGTTAAGATAATAGGAAATGGGTTATGGTAATATATCCAATGGGCCACTTTATTATATGAAGTATATATATTATAAATTCAAGGCTTAGTTTATAAGACTGGGTCAATAAAGCATAAATTGAAGTAGAATATTAAAGTCCATAAATAAAGGTCTTAGAAGAATTATATATACTATATATACTCATGAGAATTGGGCTTAGAAGGAATTTATACAATCTAGGGATTATTTATAATTAAAAGATTTGGGCTTAATTTGAATAATAAACCCCTTAGAAAAATAATTACAAATACTAATTATGAAATAATTAGTACGGGGTGTCACAACATGTTTTAGAATGCTTATAAAAAACATAGTGATCAGACTTCCTTTTCAGTTGCTTGATTGAATTTCCCAAACCATGCACGAGGGCTTTGTCTTAGGCCATAGAGAGATTTGCGAAGGCGACAAAATTTACCATACTCCCCCTAAGCAACAAACCCAGGTGGTTTCTCCATGTAGACTTATTCGTGAAGATCACCATGTAGAAAAGCATTCTTAATGTCTAGTTGGTGTAAGGGCCAATCGTATGTAGCAGCCATATAGATGAGCAATCTAACAGAGGTCAATTTCGCGACAGGGGAGAATGTGTCAGAGTAATCAATACTTTATGTTTGAGCATACCCTTTTGCAACAAGACGAGCCTACAATCGAGCCACTGACCCATCAGGATTAACTTTCACCGCAAACACCTATTTGCACCCAATGACCTTCTTACAAGCAGGTAAATCCACCAAGTATCATGTACCATTGAAATCTTAAGGCATTTATTTCCTCAATCATAGCGTTACACCCCCCAACTAGAATGTGACAAGGCTTGTTTCACAGTTTTAGGAGTTTGTATATAGTCAAGAAAGGCAATAAAAGAGCAAGAAATAAGGGGCAAGTGAGTATAAGAGACAAAAGATGAAACATGATAAGTACATGATCTTTTACCTTTGCGGAGAGCGATCATACGAAAAATAGTCGGCTCAGGAGTAAGGACATGAATTAGGCATACTGTTAGGAGCCAAAGAAGTGTATGGGTTGGGGTTAACTATTTTTGGAACAGACTGTTGTTTACGAGAATATACCTGAGTGATTGGTGGTCGTAAAGCTAGGATAGAAGCGGAAGCGGTGGTAACCGTATAGATGAGAGCATCTTCATCGTCTCTATGGCTTTCAGAATTTGAAGGAGGTGAAAAGGGAAAATCTTCATGAAAGGTTACATTAATAGACACTAGATATCTTCCTGTAGACGGACAATAACATCTATACCTCTTCTGGACAAGAGAATATCACAAAAAGATGCACTTTAGAGATTTTGGATCTAACTTCGTGATATGGGGCCTAACATCTCTCACAAAACAAATACATCCAAATGTTTTTGGTGGAATAGGAAACACAATTTTTGTAGGGAAAAGACACTGATAGGGTGTTGTACCATGTAAAATCGAAGATGACATACGGTTGATAAAAAAACACGCAATAGAAACTACATCAGCCCAAAAGTGTTTGGGAACGTGCATTGGGAACAAGAGAGCCCAAGCAGTTTCTAATAAGTGTCTGTTTTTTCTGATGGGGAAATCGAACATAAACTTTTCGTATCGATCCCTACGAACGGCGCCAATGTTGGTTTTATGACTTTTGGGCAGTCAACGGCAGACCAACACTACGGTTAAAATGACGAGAAAATAGAAAAAAATTGTGCATAAAATATTGGAACTTTATATTAATGAGTATTACTGGTGAATAATGAAAGTTGTCCCCTCTCCCATGGATGGAGGGTCTATTTATACATATTTCGGGCTAAGAGCCCTACAAGGAATAAAAATCCTAGACTGCCTCATATTGGGAGTCTTTGTTACATTGAGAATAATAAGACCTAATTCTATTATACTAAAAATAATGAGTCCAATTCTAATTATATTGGGAATAATAGGCACAATTCTTGACAAACTCTTGGGTTGCTCCGTATCGTTTATCTTTCTTGGGTTTTCTTAATCCAATTGCTTTCTTAGGCTGGTCCATGTGGCCCAGGCCTAGTACACTATCCATCATTTAGCAAACTAACAAGACTCACAATTTAAAGAAGACACCTTACTAAATTGCGAACACATCTTTTTTCAACAAAGGTAAAGAAAGGTGTCCCCAAACGACAATAGACTTCAAAGGGAGTATACATCTCGAAGCAGTCAACATTTCTTGGAATATAGGAATCAAGAATATAGAGGCCACCAGACTAATGCCCTTTACCAATAATTCGCTTCGTCGTAAGATCCTGAAACATGCACTGAGTAGGAAAAAAAGGTTACAGAATAATTCAGAGCATTAGTGATTTCACTAACAGAAATCAAATTAAAAGACAAGTTGGGAAGGATCAAGATAGAGGACAATGGGATATCAAGAGTTGAATTAGCAATGCCAATTCCAAGTACCTTAGATGTGGATCCATCAACTAGAGTGACACGGGAAGTGGATGGAGATTATTGAAAGGTAGATAAGAGGCTAGAGTTACATGTCATATGATTAGTGTCACCCGAATCAATAACCCATTTGGAAGCTAAAGAGACGAGGCAAGTGTTGGGATTACCTGAGGTGGCAGCAGCTACAATTAAGACAGATAGTGAGGATTCTTGTTACCTTAGGAACTTAGCATAATCATATGTAGATATTACAACTGTTTTCTAACCATTAGCATCTAATTAAAGACACCACATTTGCAGACCGATTTCCTTGATTTCTATTTTGAAGCTTTCAACAATCCTTCTTCATGTGCCCCAATTTCTGACAATAATGACAAATGATCGTATTTGACTGTTATCCATGAGGATCCCTACTGTGATAATACGACTTCACATATTCCCCCTTAGATTTCTGGCTTACAAGGACACTATTCGATTGAGGAGGTTGAAAGGTCTCTGTGCGTAGTACTTTAAATCCGAGGATGGAGACCAACAAAAAAAATCATGATGGCCATATATTCTCGCTGTTTCTAGTTTTCTACTGTTCTTTTATATCCGACGTGAATGGCATTAACTAATTAAGGGCCTCATAAGTTTTCTTGAATTCCATAAAATAAGTCTACAGAGGTTTGTCAAGCATTTCAGTTCAATAAAAAGTCTTAGAAATATCATAGATTCCAATAATGTTGCCCTTACCCAAATACAAAAAATTGAGATAATCTAATAGCTCTTTGACAGTTTCACAGTAACTGACAAAACCAAAAATCTTAGAATCAATTGAGTTCCGTATTCAAAGAAATAACTTAGCATCATCACGCAACCAAATTTGTTTAGCTTTGTCATCTTCAGGTGGGTTTTTAGTCATATGGATATCTTTGTCAATACTACACAGATATATTTTAATGGTTCGTTTCCATTTCAAGTGATTTAAGTCATTTAGTTTGTGTTCTGTGATTCTTGCATTGACTTGAAAAATATCAGACACAACTAGCTAGAGACTTATTCTTAGTCATTATGCTACCAAAGAAAAAAAAAAAAAAAAAAAAAAAAAAAAAAAACCCAACCACACATACCAAACATATTATAGGCAGTAAATAGACCAACCACACTATCGACCAAAATTAATATAGAGAGATATTACCGGGGCCTCCAATGCCCAAATCGAGCCTAGAACAGTGTTGTGGATAATCGGGCGACCTTGGGATAAGAAGTCGGAGTTAATTCTGACGACGGAGTAGAGCTCGCGCCAGCCTCCAATGCCCAAATCGAGCCTAGAACAGTGTTGTGGATAATCGGGCGACCTTGGGATAAGAAGTCGGAGTTAATTCTGACGACGGAGTAGAGCTCACGCGCTGGCGCGTGGGATGCCGGCGAGTGACAGTGGCGACGCGTAAGGGCCACGCTCCGGACAGAAGCTCCCCAAACTTGGCAAAGTTGAAAGGGTAATAAAAAATCATAGTTGTGTTTTAAAAAGTTATCAATCAAACAATAATTATGATTTGATTCTCATTCCTAGTATGTAAACCTATGAACCAAACACACCATGAGTGTGCATAGTGATGCACATCTTGAGAGAGGGTAATCACTAATCAATGTGCTAATTATCTAGCTAACTTTCTCTCAAAAGGTTGAATCTCCAATCCAAGGATCCCCACACCCCAACTCGACAGAGCATTTGAAAAGATGTAAATCACGGTGATTCAATGGTTTAAACAAACATGGTTAAATTATCTAGTTAACCTTGATTAGGCAAGTGATTAGGAAACTACAAGACTGGAGAATCCTCCGTGCAAGATTAAAATCTTATTAGCCCCGAACGTGAGAAGTGTTCCGGCTAGGAGGATTAGATAACTTGGGGTTAAGTAACTTGTACCTCAATAATACTCTATGACTGTTTCAAATGAGAGGTTACAAGTTCAAACCTTAGTGAATGTATTAACTCTTTATATTTCAATAGGTTAAAAAAAAAACTTTAATAGGTTAAAAAAAATATGTATAGATGTATATTATATTCTAATAGAGTCCGTAGTCTTAAAAAAAAACCCTTTGAAGCTTTGGCGCACCAAAGGTATAAAAAGAATTGAAGGTGTGTTTGATTTATGAGTTTAGCTATTCCAGAATTGGAGTTTTGTGCTGCTAATAAGCCAATGCCAATCAGAGCAAAACTTGTAGTGTAATTACATACATGCTGACACAAAATACAGCAAGAAAAACACTGGAAAACAAAGACAAATTAAACTGAGGAGGGTGCATTAAGATTCATTCACTCCACTGGTATCATAACTTCATTCGTCTTCAATGGAGGCAGCGTCCATGGAGGATTATACCTACCCAACTCGAATTCCCCAATTATCTTATACCCATCTCTCTCCAAACACCTCTTCAGCATCTCCACCTTCTCTTCCACCACTTTATCCGTCGCCGTCCCGCTGAACTTCACCACCCCATATTTCCTCTCCCCTCCCTCCTTAATCTTCACCCGCTCGTCCAGCGGCTTCGGCGCCTCCTCCGCCCTCGCGTACTTCGACGGGAGGATGAACTGCATCGTCACCGCCTTGCTCTCCCCCTCCCCGCCGCCGCCCTTGGTCACCACGGGCGCCGTCATCGCGATCTCCTCCGACGACGACGAAGACTCTCTGGTGATCACCGGCGCCGTCATGGCTATCTTTTCCGGCTTCGCGTTCTGGGGGTTGCCCAGCGCGCCGATGTAATTGGCGAGCAGAGTGAAGCCGCCGTCCTTGTTGCCCCTGAACTGGGTGGGGTGGTAGGTGACCTCCGCTATCACGGCCGGCGGGTACTGCCGGATTTCGTACTCCGCGGCGGCGTGAATCACCTCGTACTTGGGCGTTTCCACCGTGATTTTCCCAAGAATCATACCCATTTCGAAAGAATTCAAGATATTATGAAGGAGTGATCGAGAATGAGGGAGAAGTAGTGTATTTATAAGGAGGTTGTGGATATGGCGAGAAGGTTGTTTCAGTGTTTGTGTGGAATGGTGGGCGGTACTAAGATGAAGAGTCAAAACTTGGGGAAGGGGAAAGGAGGATAACCATGGAAAAGCTCAGAAGCTATGTGGACATTCTTCTGCCACGATGCTCCTCCTATCACCTATTGCTATTTCACATACCCAACATTTATCCTTTCATTGGTTGATTCCCCTCATGGTAATGGTAATACTTAAACATAATCATAACATAATTAGATTATCACTTTATTTTGACTTGTTTAATCGCTATTAACTGTTTAACTGGTTAAACATTCAATAATATGAGTGTTTGGTTAATCAGTCTTAGTCGTTTATAACAGCTATTGAAGCACAAAGAGTCAATGCTCTGATCTTCCATTTGAAAGAGTCACACTTAAAACCCAAAGTCATTATTTGAGAACCAGTAGTTTTTTTATGGTGACGGAGGAAATCCCAGCTATTAAATGACCACAAAGAGGTAAACTAGCCACTTACTTTTTTGGAGTGACGAGAAAAACGAACCCATAGCTACTATCCGAGTACATAAGAAGGAAAACCAGTGAATTTCTATAAAGAGAGGTGACGGAGGAAACTCCAGCTATCAAATGACCACAAAGAGGTAAAATAGCCACTTACTTTTTTGGAGTGACGAGAAAAACGAACCCACAGCTACTATCCGTGTACATAAGAAGGAAAACCAATAAATTTCTATTAAGAGATAAACCAGCCTATGTTGCCCATAGTTAGCCGGCTCAAATTAAGAGGGATAGGATTCAAACTTGTGACCTTATGGAGTTACAAGTTTGTATCTTTAGCCATCTTAAGTGGGTGGGTTACCCCATTACACCCACTTCATTCTTCACTCGAGGAATGAGAAATCAAGTCAGATGGTTCCTTTCAAATGCATCAGATAACAGTGTTGAGGCCACCAGTAAATGAAACAACAAGTGATTTCAAGTTGGAAAATATAGCTACACATATTCAGCAATGACCTTACTACAATACACAGAAACAACAAATTAAAAGTGAGAAGGCAGGCAGATTGAAGCTGTATTTTAATGATCATAACACTGGTTACTCATATTTGGCCACTGATCATTAAAGTACAGCTACAAAATAAACACGACCGCAACCATAAAGACTGCAAAACTGAACGAGGATTTTACAAAACAAAACGCAGCACGAACGAACCTAATTCTTACCATCTTTGATGGCTTTATCATCTACAACTACTTGGAACTTCTTGTACTCGTATTCTTTAGGCTCTGGAGTGAGCTCCTCGGGCACAATAGGCCGCCTGTTTCTCAAGACGCTCCAAACGAACAACACCATGAGTGTCCCTAGCGCTCCACACCCGGTACCAAAGATCAAAGCGCCGAGGATTTTCAACCCACATTCGTCGCTTCTCTTGGGAACACTCAGCTGCTCGGGTTTCCCCACACGAAAGGCCTTGGGATCCAACGGCTGAGAATGCATCCAATCTGGAGCAGCCCTTAACTTGAAACTCCATGAATATACATTACACTTGTGGGATTGGTTCCACAATCTTGATGTGCTTAACCCAACAAACACCTCATCCTCTTTCCACATTTGGGATAAGTCAACAAAGCAAGAAAGCAGTGGATAACCTGGCCTAATCTCACCCCATTTGCTCAACCTCACCTCCAATCTCTTTGAGCTTGCTTCATAATCAATCCAAGATTGCAACTTTTCACCACTATTGAGCTCCAAATTGATGGATGAAACATTCCCCACTTTAACAGATACCAAACTGCTCAAGTCAACCCCAACATGATTCCCATTAACATCCCCATATTTATCATCCTTCAATATATCAAACTCAACCCCAAGAAACTTGTAATTCTCCTTCTCCCCATTCAACACCCCAAATGACCCACCATCACCATCAAACACATTGAAAGGATACCCATCTGGTAACATAACAAATGCAAGCCCATCCCCACTTAGCCTTGACAAAGAAAACGCAAAATAAGTGGAAAAAGACACCAATTTCCTGGGTTTTCCCTCAACAAGCTTAATGGGTTTCTTGCTCATGATTCTTCCAGCCCCAGGACTCATTTCACTACCATCAATTTCTATAGACAAACTATCATTAACCACCTTAGTGTCACCATACAGAGCAATCAGAGAGTCAAAGTTTGAATCTTTGCCAAAATTCTTGAAAGCAAATGACAAGTTTGGGTCTGCAGACATGAATTTGAAGCAGAGACTGAGGAAAAAGAATGCCAAAAAGTACCTGGGCTTGGGGCATGAAACTGAGGCCATTCTTGATCTTGGTTTGAGCCTCTAGTTCACAGTATGTATTTTGTCTGCTCCTCTGGAATCACAAGAATGGATTCTTCTTCTTTATGAAGCCATGAAGAAGAGATAAAGCATCATTTATGTGCGTGTGATGTTTGTGTTAATGAGAAGAATTAAGAATAGTAATTTCTAGGGCTTGAGAGTTGAGAGTGGAGAAAATCAGAAAAATCTTGGGGAAAAGAGAAGGGGTGGTGGTGGGTTGGCTAACTTGGCTTGGATGTTGTGACAATTAAATTCGTTTCACTTGATTTCTGCTACCACTCTCTGCATCTCTCTCTCTCTCTCTCTCTCTCTCTCTTTGAGGTAGCTGACTGAGGGAATATATTAACTATTATACAAGATTCTGTAGGATCACGTCCTCATATTTTTCCATATTTTGTTTTTAGTCCTTTTCTTTTTCCAAATTACGAATTGCAACCACATCTCACTCATGTCGCTATCAATTTTTTCAAACTTAAGTCCACACGGATAACTCAGCTAGTTTTTGAATGACAGGTTATAAGTAAAGACATAGAATCAAGTGAGGGTGGACGAGAATTTCACCCTCTTGTGTGCAGGCATTGATCCTCACATATAATGAGTTGCTAAGTTATTGTGATTTATCCATTTAAAATTCTGTCGGATCGGATCGGGGTGTAAGGATCTTTAGGGCGAGAGATTTAATCGTTTATTGGAAAAGTGTTTTCAAACTTAAATTTTGATGGACCAAAGTTTAATTGAGAGGGTGATGTTATCTTATTGTGATTAATGGATTTAATGATAACATATAACATTGGTATTTATGAAATAATATTTATGAAAGCATTAAAAACATTTACAATAACGTCAAAATATCAAGAGTTAAAATACCAAAACAAATTCATAATTGTTTTTAGATTTATGTTAATTTTATTACAAACTTTTGTAAGTAACAAGTGCTGGAAACTACTTAGTCCAAAAATTAAAGAACAAAAATATAAGTACAAACATTTTAGTTTATAATAAGGTCCAAATTGGTCACTGAACGTAATTTGAAAGTACAATTAGGCTATTGAACACTCTAAATATATGCAATTTCACCTTATAACAGGTTAATACACATTCCTTCCAGCTGTCTGCTTACGTGGATAGTGAGCTGACATTTTTTTAAATAATTTTTAATAAAAAAACTACAACTAGATTAATCCTGCTTACTAATTCTCTTATATTATTGAGTTAATCAATACATTATTTTAATGAATAAAATATCTAATTTCACTTTAGTTGTTCTATAAATAACATTTTTAAAAAATTTACCGTAATCTACTACCAAGAACCAACTAAGTTTAATAAATGGATGGTGTTTTTTCTTTTCTCCTTTTGGATGAGTCAAATCGGGTTAAAAAAAATATTCCATGCTTTATTTAAATTAATTAAAAGTTTTACTATTAATGTAAAAAATTGAAATAATATTTTAATAATTTATATTAAATTGTTTTTTTTATAAAAAATAAGATACAATCATTACAAAAGAAATAATTATAACCTTTTTAATTAAAAAAAATCAAGATCATTTTTATATACACATGAATATATTGAAGATTGAATCTATTCATTGCAAGATTCTTGAGACATGCAAGGTTGATAGCCCATGTTGCAAAAATTGCACCTAAGTGCGGATTAATCGGCGCTAGGCGGTGGCTGACCGCTTAGAATTTTAGTAGAGTCGTCGTTCTAGGCGACCGGCCGCCTAGGCAGATGTTTAAGTTGTCAGTTAGTTATTTTTTTGTGTTTTTTTTTAAAAAAAAAATAATTAAGAAACGCCTAGCGATTTATGCAACATTGTAGTTATAGCTTATAAGTGAAAATTAGTAGGGAAAATTTGAAAGTTTAAAAAAGAATAGGCACTTAGGTGGAAATATATAGAATTATAAGGTCAGAATTGCAAAAATGCCCAACATCCTAAGCAGCTTTCCGAGGACAGCTGGCAGTGCGATGCCACAACTTCACAGGCATTGAATGCCAGAAAACTGAATATTGGGTATTGGGGATAAATAAGATGGGTCGTTGAGTGGGTAGTAATTATCCCAGAGGAGTAATTTGTTTTATGAATTATACTTTTGCCCCACAAACTTTTTCATTTTTAATGATCACTTAATCACTTTTTTAAATCAATAATTAATGTTGTGATTAAAAGATGTGTAAGGGTAAAAAAAATAGATTGGTACGAGGGCCAATGTCTAAGTTGCAGTGTACGATATTTATTGCAGGTAAAAAAAATCAATTTAATTCTTTCTTATGTTTATTTTGTTTTATTTTTAATCAAGATTATAATAATTTACCCTACTTTTATTCAATTTTGTTTTTTTTTTTTTTTTTTTTTTTTGCATTAAAATTTTTCAATTATATTGATTTCATTTCATTTTGAGAAAAAAAATGTCAAATAGACTCTTGAACTTTATTCAGAAGTGTAATTAAGCCTCTAAACTTTAAAAAATTACAATTAAACACTCAAAAATGTCAAAATAAGTCAAATAAGTCCAGTTTAAATTTACCGCTGATGATCATCGTTGACCGTCGCTGAACATTGTTCACCGCCATTAAAAAAATCAATTTTTGGTGGAGAAGCCTTCTCCACCGGAGAAGACGATCGTTGAAATTTTTTTCAATTCGTACGACCACCAGAATTTTTTTAGTCGCGGGAATTGCCATCGTAATTGTCATTGGAACCCTAATGACCGGTTATTTCAGGTGGAAACCAGCTATTGGGTTTAGATGCACCAAAATAACAAGTTTAAATGTTTAATTGCACTTTTCTTTTAAAGCTCGGGAGTCTAATTGCACTTTCAAGTAAAGTTTAATGAACCCGCACGGGCTTAGCTCAATGGTTTGGTGGACAGTATTTGGGAGAAGAAGTAAAGTTTAATGACATATTTGACCCTTTTTGTATCTTTTTTTGACTCGATTGAAACAAATTAGTTATTTATTATGAATAATGTTATTTTTCCTCTCCTATTTTACCTCATAATGTTTACATTCTAATGTTGCAATAAATTTTTTTCATTCATTGACTATCGTGAACTAGTTGATCCTACCCCATGTTAAAAAAAAAAATAAAATCTATAGGAAACCAATAAAAAATTGTCACTTAAACCGTTTAGGACGAAATTAAGTAAAAATCACTAGTCAGGGGCCATTTTAAGTATTGTGGGTGGTAAATGAATTAAAAAAAAAAAGATTGGATATATAAGAGGGTAAAGGGTAAGTGGCATTGAGAGTTGAGAGTATAGTATTTATCCGACAGTAAGATAAGAAAGATGTGTTGTGCATTGTGCCCCTTACTTTGGCATCTCTCTTTTCTGCCATATCAAAAATCAAAAATTCAAAATTATATTAAAATTCCGCCCGCACGCCATAATATGCCCTCCTTGATCCACACCAACGGTCCACTTACATCAATAATATCCTATCTTTGGACCGTTGTCGGCTCAATACAATACACTCAACTTTATCAAATATTTTTGGGAAAAAAAAAATTAAATAAACCACCTAAATCAATAATTCATAGAAAATGGAACATGCATATCATAATATTGTTTAGTTCATGAAAATAATATACTTCAGGAATTATATTCTAATATATGGCTAGATTAAGGAATAGAAATGCAATAAGTATTAAAAAGATGAAATTGCCCACTACACTAGTATACACACATGTATAATCATAATATTTTGAAAAAATGTTTAAATTAGCCACCAAACTACGTGTAAAAGTGAAATTAGGTCATTCAATTAAAAAAATAACGCAATTAAGGTCTTGAATTATCTAAAATTATGTAAATTGATATGTAATGGTCACTTTATTAAAAAATATTATTTCTAATTTATTTTAATAATTATAAATAAAATTAAAATAAAAAAAAAAAAACAAAAAAAGAGGAAAAACCCGCCACCCTTCCCATCTTCGTCTTCGGCAGGGAGACGAAGACAGGAAGGGGCTGTTTTTTTGATAAAAAATTAAAATTATTAATATAAATTAAAAAGAATAATTTTTAATAGAATAATCGCCACGTCAATAATGATATGAGGAACATGTCAAATTTAGTTGAATGCATAATTTTTGACAGTTCAGCTATTCAAGGACCTAATTGCTCTGTTTTTGAATTGGATGGTCCAATTGTACTTTTTTGTGTTATGTGGCTAATTTAAACTTTTATTATTATTATTATTATTATTATTATTATTATTATTATTATTACTATTATTATTAGGATGATATATACGTTTCCGAAATTATCAACTACACTTTTAATATAATATGAATGCAACAACAACAAAAAAATTTTAAAAAAAATTATAAACTACTATTTAGAAAATATTTCAATATAACTAATATTTTAACAATGAGTATTAATATTGGACATCTATTTTTATGTATCACGCATAGAAATAATTAGATGAATTTTTGTTTGAATGGTGCGGATTGATACTACTCTAGTGCATTTAGCTTTGTACTTACTCCCAAATACATTCAAGGTTGTTTTGTTTTGTTTTGTTTGTTTTTCTGTTTGTTTGTTTTGTTTTTTTGTTTTGATAATTTGAATGGCGTGGTCAAATTTAAATATTTTTAGTTTAATTTTATTCCCCAATATGTAAAAGTTACAATTAGAGAAAGCTATTGCTAATATTATGTGTGAAAAAAAAAATATCGGTATTATCATGACAAACTATGTCTATGTTGTTGTAATTTGGCCTATCAACTAGCTCAGTTTTCGCGTGATGTTTGCATGATACTGCTTCGTGATTGTATGTATATGAGTATATAGAATAGATAAGTAAAAGGGAGATGAAGAACACAATGTATAGAACACAATTTCATAAGACTATCTTTTCATTAAGCCTTCAGCCTCAATTTATAGGGACCATTACAACCTTTCACATACTTATCATAAACAAGATATTAAGTAGAAGGCAAATGAAGAGTCTCAAGATTAATGACCACTAAT